TTGATTTTTTTGTGTTTTTGTGTTCTTTATCTGGGTAATTCATATGTTACTTTATAATACAGCCCACCGCCTTATCTATATATTTTATAGGTTACTCTATAATACAGCCCACCGCCTTATCTATATATTCTATAGGTTACTTTATAATACAGCCCACCGCCTTATCCATATATTTTATAGGTTACTCTATAATATAGCCCGATGTCTTATCTAGATATTTTATAGGTTACTCTATAATACAGCCCACCGCCTTATCTATATATTTTTTAGGTTACTCTATGATACAGCCCACTACCTTATCTAGATATTTTATAGGTTGCTCTATAATACAGCCCACCGCCTTATCTATATATTTTATAGGTTACTCTATAATATAGCCCGATGTCTTATCTAGATATTTTATAGGTTACTCTTTAATACAGCCCACCGCCTTATCTATATATTTTATAGGTTACTCTATGATACAGCCCACTACCTTATCTAGATATTTTATAGGTTACTCTATAATACAGCATACCGCCTTATCTATATATTTTATAGGTTACTCTATGATACAGCACACTACCTTATCTATATATTTTATAGGTTACTCTATAATACAGCCCACCGCCTAATCTATATATTTTATAGGTTACTCTATAAAACAGCCCACTACCTTATCTAGATATTTTATAGGTTACTCTATAATACAGCCCACCGCCTTATCTATATATTTTATAGGTTACTCTATGATACAGCCCACTACCTTATCTAGATATTTTATAGGTTACTCTATAATACAGCCCACCGTCTAATCTATATATTTTATAGGTTACTCTATAATATAGCCCACTACCTTATCTAGATATTTTATAGGTTACTCATAGGCTATTATATGCTCCAATGTTTTGCCTAGATATTTTATAGACTGCTCTATAATAGAGCCCAACGCTTTATCTAGATATTTCATAGATTACTCTATAATATAGCCCGATGCCTTATCTAGATATTTTATAGGTTACTCTATAATACAGCCCAGCGCCTTATCTGGATATTTCATATTAGGTTACTCTAATACACCCCAATGCCTTATCTAGATATTGCATTGGTTACTCTATAAAATGCCCCTATGTTTTACTTAGATATTTCCCTTGGGTAGTCCATACTCATAACCCAATCTAGATATCTTATAGTTTACTCTATATCTCAATACTCCATCTAATTT